CCCACATAGAGGCACCCATTGCCAGGTCAATAGTCCTCACAGCAGTACTCCTAAAATTAGGTGGCTATAGGATTATACGAATCATTTTAATCCCTCACCCCCAACAGAGCTTATAGCTTATTCCTCCCTCATACTATCCTTATGAGTTATAATCATAACAAGCTCCATTTGTCTGTGCCAGACTGATCTAAAATCACTGATTACTTACTCTTCCATAAGCCACATGGCACTTGTTATCATAGCTTTTCTCATTCAAACCTCCTGAAGTTTCAGCAGTGCAACTGTCCTAATAATTGTCCACAGACTAACCTCATCCCTATTATTCTGTCTTTCAAACTCAAACTACAAATGAGTTCACAGCCAAACCATACTACTAACACGGGACCTTCAAACACTTCTCTCCCTGATAGCCATGTGATGACTCCTAGCTAGTCTTGCCAACCATGCCCTGCCCCCTACCATCAATCTAGTAGGAGTAGTCTTCATAACTATAGCCTCATTCTCTTGGTCTAATCATACCATCATGCTCATAAGGTTTAATACACTAATCACAGTCCTTTACTATCTGTATATGCTAATTATTACACAACAAGGGGTATTCACATATCATATTAACACTGTTAAACCATCTTTCACTCGAGAAAAAACCCTAATACTTATACATCTTCTGACTCTCTTCCTACCATTACTAAACCCTAAGGTCATTTCGGGGTTTATATATTGTAGCTACAGTTTAATTAAAACATTAGTTTGTGGATCTAATAATGGAAGCCTGTAACTTCTTATCTACCATTTATCTGCTTTTGCTGGTCCTGAATCCACAGCTATTTCCTTTACAACAGGCATAAATTAATTCTTCAGAGAAGCTCAGTTTTCATGGCTATTCTGAATAAAACACATGGCTAGTATAGTAGAGGACTTAATAAAATCTCTAACAACAAACACGTCCCTTACCATTTACCTTCAGCAAAATTTATAGCAAATGGCTATGAAATGAAGAAGAAACACAGCATTTCAAACTCTTGACTTGTTATTTTGAATCTAACATGCAAAGACCCAAATCTTTCTCTACTCACAAAATACATGATTTCATTCCACTATTTCTGACACTGACAGACTGGAAAACGCAACAAAAGCCTTTCAAAGTATTTTACTTTACAATGATCTCTTGTAACAACATACCTCAAGGGATATACTTTATTCAAACAATACAGGTGAATTTACTTACCTTTTGCAAACCACTGAAGGAGCATACTTACATTGGTTAAGGATTTGCTGACGTCCTTAATACCTATCTGTAGGATATTTCCAATGACTGGGAGAGGAGTGGGGCCAGGAGGGAGTTTTCCTCTCCCAGATCTCTGTCTCCAGAGTGAAAGGAGAAGCAAACAGGAGAGACAGAGCACAAGGACCACAAGAGAATCCATTGAAGCCTTCTCTTCTTGTTAAGACCAACATGAGCTTGCGCTCCAAGCCTTTTATAACACTCCATGCTAATTCAGTGTGTGCCTCTTTGACAAATAAAGTGACCAATCACCTAGGTCCACTACAGGCTCCTTCTGAAAGGACTTTGACCCACTGATAGATATAAAAATAAAATGTCCTTTGATCTTGTTCTCCTTCGTTTCAGTGCCCACTCTGTACATTCCTGTTTCATTGTAGTAGGTTGGAGCCTAGGTATTGGTAATAAAAAACAAATGTTAACCCAGATGGTTCCAATGCACCATCACGATTGAGAGCACTGAAGTAAATAATCTGATGCAAAAACAATTACTCAAAATTCTGAATTCTTAGATTAATAACCAGTTGGGAACTGATGATTTTGAGGGAAAGTAATGTATTCTATGCCTTGTATATTTAAAAAGTATGTCAATGCTATACAAAGATTAGGAGACTTTGTTCTTTATAATGAAATCCTTTCAAATATTTAATATAGCCTACTAAAAATACAGCAACTTAAACATGAAATAGCTAGCATAACTTGTATATCTTAAATAACCAAACATATATCAAGTAAATTAGCTTAGCAGATATAAACACCTTTTACAATTAAACCTGCTAAAAAAATACGTGAAAGCAGGAATTGTTACTTTTTATTTTTCAAATGGGAAAAGAGAGACCCTGGGAGAACAGGACATCTGTCGGTGCCACACAGTTCACAGCTGGCAGAACTCCGATCTGAGCTGAGGTCTTCTGATGCCCATCATAGTGTATTATCTCTTACACCAGAGCTGCCTTGAGAACAATTACAGCAAAACAAAACAAACTTCGAAACATTAGTTATTCTGAATATACACCACATTGATTCTGCTCATAAAACAGGCTTCACATTAAATAGAACTCCTTATTTGTCTCTAAGGAACGCAGCACCAG